TTAAAAGTATAGATGTGTGGCTATACTGCACAAAATATATTAAGATTTAAAGAGTACAGCGCACAACTATACTCGTTAATTATATTCGAATATTTTAAAAGTATAGTCGTGCATTTGTTCTTGATTTCACTGTTCAGGCTTCCGATATTGAGGTTCGAGGGGCAAGTTTGTCTGCTTTAGAAAGTGTCCTAAGGCATGCTGGGAAGAGCTTGAGAAGTGCTGTTAGAACTCGTGTCTACTTGCACCTTAATGATTTAGTTCGTAATGATGATGACCAAGTTCGGATATCTGCTTCAAACATTTTGGGTATCACATCACAGGTATGTCATGGATAATATTGGAACTTCTCCAATATCTATATCTTTCCATCTGGTGTTAATTTTGTGAATGAGCAATTACGGTTTCTAGCTGTATTTAGCTGTATCTTAATCATCATGTTCAAGATTATGTATTTTTGATATATGGTTGTAGACAATGTTCATACTGTTGATATTGACTCGTATGCAGAGCATATATATGAAGATTGGAAAAGATATATGTAATATTGAACGTAACAATAAAAGAAATTTGGAGATTTCGTTTGGAAGTTTGATATTTGTTGATTGATGCACTAATATATATGTCGGGATACATAATAGTGCAAGTTCATCGTTAGCAACTTGGTAACGCGTGGAGTGTGAGATACTAGAGTAATTAATTGACATGAGTCGAATCGAATGCATGATTTTGTTGAATAAAAATAATAGTAAATTGAGCTTAGACCCATAAAATTCATTTTGAGTGCTGCTATTTCCACCCACCTGTCCTATTTTCCCACTCACCTTATCTTTAAAATTTTAAAGATAAATTTACCCATTTATGAAAAGACTTCTAAGGACTTAGAGAAAAGGATTAAAAACCAAAACAATTGCCTCAACCTTAAAATTAAAATAAGTTAAAAAAATCCAAATCACAAATATCAAACCTTGTAACTATGGGCGATTCTTCAAATTTCCTATCTCCCATTATTGCACCTTCTCTACCATCCTATCTCCCATTAACAGACCTCTTTAACTTAAAAGATAATTTGCTTGAATTAATAATTTAAGGGTGTTTTAGGAATAATAGTGGGTGGAAAGATAGGATTGTGTTTTTTCAAATTTACATAATGGGTGGGAAGATAAGGTGGGTGGGGAAATAGGACATGTGGGTGGAAATAGCAGCACTCTTCATTTTAAATCACCTACAACCCTTTGCTTTAGTTTTATATTTAAAATACCCAATTTTTTCAAATAATACCCGATGACTAGGATCCAACTAAGCAAGTTACCTAATATAACTTAAAATCTGATTTATTGTATTTTTCGAATTCCAAAACTACCCCTATTTATGACTTAATGTGTTATGGAGGGTGTAACTAATGACACACGTTGAATTTGGAAAGATCACCAAATGGTTGTGTTGAGGCCCAAAAAATCCACGGTTTGGCCCAAATAAATTCTCGGCCCAATGCAATACCTTACCGAGGAGAAGCCCGATTAGGGCACGTGAAAGTTCGTCATACGTGCTTGCACACATGCCACGCCAAGCAAATAAGCAACACGTCGCGCTACAAGCTTATGTGGGCCCAAGCCACTCAAATGCCCGGGGCTTGCTTGAGTGGGTTGTGGTATGGATGGTAATAAATCAACATGAGGCCCATTGATGGGCCGAGAAATGGAAGCCCCGAGTCGCTTGGGAGCCTCGGGACTCAAGCCCATTTCTTAGGCCCAAACATGTGGGTGAGCACAAGAGGAAGAAATAGCCCAGTCAAAATAGCCTATGAACCTTACCAAAAGCCCAAACGTTTAATGAAAATAGCCCAATCAAAAATAGCCCAATCAAAAAGTAGCCTATTGACTCAACCAAAAAGCCCACTTACTTAATAAGCCATCTTGGCCCATACAATTACCCCAACTGGCTGGGAGAACAAAAGCCACGAAGGGGGAGGTTTGAAGGTTTATTGAATAAAGCTGCTGGAGGTTCCAACACATGGGGGAGCAAGTTCCAAGCAAAAATCCTTCAAGGAACCAAGGGATATTAGCACGCAAGGAGGGATGCCATCCCTTGAACCAGCATACAAACCCAGTTTCTTTCCTTCATCAAATTTGGCCATGGAAAAAGGAAGAAAGAAGAGAAAGAAGATGGGTGAAAATAAAGGCTCTCCTCTAAAGCAGCCAAAAGTCTCTGATTTTGTGGGATTGGGCAGAGCTAATTGTTGCCACCATAAGGTAAGTCAAGAGGGAGGAGAAGAAAGAAGGAGGAAAGCTTAGCTAGATTGGGAGGAAACCATTAGGGTTTCTTGGAGAAGAGCAAATCTCAGCAGCTAAAAATAGGACCCCTCTCTACCCAACACAACACACTTGGGAGAGCAAGCTTCCTCTCCTACCTGCAAGCTCAGTAATTTTCGTGCTTAGCTGGTCTATCACCCTTATTCCCCTCATTTTTTCCTCTTCTGGCAGGCTGCTCAGAGTCACCGACGAGCTGCCGAAAGTGATACTCAAGTCACCCATTTCTCTCTTTCCCTCAATCTCAACCAAACCTCTCTGCAAAACTCTTTCCTCTCCTACCTTAATACCCCATCTTTCCCCTAGAAACACTTAATTTTCCCTCAGTGCTAAACTCATGATGATTTTGCTTCCATGCCACATGCCTCTCATGCCAAGCCCAAGATTTTATCTGTAAGCATGAAGAAATTATCTGTAAGTTGCTGTTGTTTTGGTTTGTGAAGGTAACCAAAATACTTCCTAAGGCCCTGCTGCCCTTTCGAAGCATTTTGGGGCTTAATTTTTGAACTCAGACAAAGGGGACAATTTCATCTCTAAGCCCACCTGCCGCCGGAAGAAAAAGACCCCTACAGGTTGTAAGAGCAAGTCCAGCGTTGGTGCAAAACCGGGCAAAAGGCTGCTCGGGCAAGCCCAATTCGACTCCAGCGGTAGAGAACAAGCCCAGGCAAGGCATGGGACCCACCAGCCTGGGCAAGCCCACGGGCAAATCTTGCCTAGGCTCAAGCTCGAAGGCGCTGACGTCAGCGCTGATGCACGCTGACGTCAGCGAGCAAAAAAAATTCAAAAAAATCCAAAAAAAATCAATTTTTTTTTTATAAAAAAAACCAAAATATTATGGATGTTTTCCCTATAAATACATAACAATTTTATTCACTTTCTAAATTGTTTATATTTTGTTGCATAATCTTTTTTTTTTTCTTGCCCTTGCCCTAGCCTTCCAAGGGTGGAACCAACTAAGGCAAGG